AAGATTAATGAGTCTATGAAACATCTCATAACATGGAAGAATCTGTGTTCATAATGAATCAATAAGAATCTGTAATCATAATGTATTTCTAAAATTATGCAAAGTGAAATAAGCCAATGACAGTAGGACAAATATTGTAAGTCCCACTACTATAAAAAGTCAAGAATAGATATATACACAGAAAAAAAGTTCTTTAATGGTTACCAGGGATGGGAGGGAGAAGGGGGAAACACTTTCTAGATAGTAGAAACTTGTTACTGTGGCATTGGGTAAGGCAATTCCAAATATATGGGTGAAGTCAGCACAACCTGACAAAGAGAAATAAAGACAATAAGAATTACATTAGAAAAAGGGACAATCTTGGTAAATGCTGTAACATATACATTTCTGAAACAACAGTAAAACATCCAAAAAACATATGTGGGTAGCAATGTTGGTAGAAACAGATGCATAAATGTGTATATGAAGGCATATATGAGTAAACGCATATGCAGGTGTAGATGTATCTTTAGGCATATATATACATATACATGTTTTGTATGCTGCACATATATTCACATATATAACAAACCACGTAGGGAATATAGTTACAAAATTGTCCTAGACATATCCAAACCACTTATATGATCAGTTTACTGGGTTGAAAGACTATAGTCTCAGGGCCAACCTGATCAACTTGTATAACATAGTTCACAAAGATAATGTTCTACATCCTAGCTCGGTCAGTAGTGTCTGGGATTTTAAAAACTTGTTAGCAGTCATCTAAGATACATTTGAGGAGCTCTGGTAGCATAGTGTCTAAGGCATTTGACTGTTATTGAGAAGGCTGGCAGTTCAAACCCACCAGCCACTCCTTGGAAAGAAGGCTGGGCAATCTACTCCCATAGTGCTGTTGTTTTTGTTAGGTGCTGTGGAGGTGTCTCTGACTCACAGCGACCCTATGCACAGCAGAACAAAACACCACCTGGTCCTGCACAAGCACCGTTATTCTTGTCACACTTGAGCCCATTGCCACTGCCACCATGTCAATCCATTACATTGAGGGCCTTGCCCTCTTTCGTCGACCCTCCGTATTACCAAGCATGGCATCCTTCTCCAGGGAATGGTCTTTTCTGACAATGTGACCAAAGTAGGTGAGACGAAGTCTGGCCATTCTCGCCTCCAAGGAGCATTCTGCTATACCTCCTCCAGGACAGACCTGTTAGTTCCTTTATCAATCCACGATACTTTCAGCATTCTTCACCAATGCCACAGCTCAAAAGCATCAATTCTTCAGTCTACCTTATTATTCATTGTCCACCTCTCACATAGCTATAAGGTGTTTGAAAATACCACGGCTTGTGTCAGGCGCAACTTAGAACTCAAGGAGACATCTTTGCTCTTCAGTACTTGAAAGAGGTCCTTTGCAGCCAATTTGCCCAGTGCTATACATCATCTGATGTCCTGACTGGTGTTTCCATTGGCATTGATTGTAGAACCAAACAATATGAAGTCTTTCACAATTTCAATGTTTTCTCCATTTATCATGATGCTGCTTATTGGTCCAGTTGTGAGGATTTTGTTTTCTTTATATTGAGATGTAATCCATACTGCAGACTGTAGTCTTCAATCTTCATCAGTAAGTGCTTCAAGTCATCCTCAGTTTCAGCAGGCAAAGTTGTTCTGTCAGCGTATCACAGGTTGTTAATGATTCTTCCTCCAATCCTGATGCCATGCTGTTCTTCATATAGTCCAGCTTCTTGGATTATTTGCTCAGTATACAGATTGAAAAAGTATGGTGAAAGGACACAACCTGACACTCTCCCATCTTGATTTTAAACCATGCAGTATTGCCTTTTTCTATTCAAATGACAGCCTCCTGATCTATGTACAGGTTCCTCATGAGTACAATTAAGTGTTCTGGAATTGCCATTCATCTTTATCCTAAATTTGTTATGATCCACACAATCAAATGTTTTTGCATAGTCAATAAAACACAAGTAAACATCTTTCTGGTATTCTTTGCTTTGAACCAAGATCCATCTGACATCAACAATGATATCTCTCGTTCCATGTCCTCTTCTGAATCCAGCTTGCACTTCTGGAAGTTCTCTGTCAATATATTGCTGCAACCATTTTAGAATTATCTTCAGTGAGATTTTACTTGCATGTTATATTAATATTGTTTGATAATTTCTACATTCTGTGGGATCACCTTTCTTTGGAACAGGTACTAATATGGATGATGCAGGAAACATCAAAAGAAGATGGAAAGAATACACAGAGTCACTGTACCAAAAAGAACTGTTTGATGTTCATCCATTTCAGGAGGTGGCATATGTTCAAGAACCAGTAGTACTGAAGGAAGAAGTCGAAGCCGCACTGAAAGAACTGGTGAAGAACAAGGCTCCAGGAACTGATGGAATCCCATTGAGATGTTTCAACAAATCGATGCCCCACTGGAAGTACTCACTTGGCTAAGCAAAGAGATTTGGAAGACAGCTGCCCGGCCAAATGATTGGATTTCTGTCTGTACTGATATTTGTCCATAGTGATACCACCTTGAAAAACTAAGGAAGGATCACTATGAGTCAGATTCAACTTGATGGCAGTTAAGTTGTAGTTTTTTTTTTTTTTTTTTTTGGTTAAGATACAACTATTGGTTTCTACATGTGTGGAGCAAAAAAAGCATGAAAGAAATCAAAGGCTCAAATTTTCATTTTGTCCATGGGACTAACATCTCACAGGAACCCTGACCTCTTTTAACCTGAGACCGGAAGAACTAGATGGTGCCTTGCTACAACTACCAATCATTCTAACCAGGGAACAGTAAAAGGCCCTATGTAGAATGAGAGAAAAATGTAAAATAAAATTCAAATTTCAAAAAACTGCCAGACCTACTAGACTGATAGAAGATTATTACCCTAGGATATCCTTTGAACTTGGAATTGAAGCTATTTCTGCAGGTCACCTTTCAGCCAAATAATAGGTTGGCTTATAAAATAAACAATATCACCTGTGAGTATTGTGCTTCCTTAAACGATTGACTATATGAGACCAATCAATCAACATTTACTCAACAGCAAAGATGAGAGGCAAGAAGGTGAAGGAAGGTTAAATCAATGGAAACAGAACAAATAGAGTAGAAATAATGGAAATGCTGACATATGGTAAAATTGTAACAAATGGCAGAGAAAAATTTGTATAAAAAAATGTTCAAATAGAACATAATTTGCTGTGCAAATGTTCACTTAAAACATGATAAAATATTATTCCTAAAATTCCATTTAATAAAAGAAATATATAAAAATAGATACATGAAGAACTGTCTATATATTACTGTGCTTGGTGATAACAGTAAGTTTTTATGTGCGATAATTAGTCAGGCGACACAAATTTTGTCATTCTAAATTTTCAATACTACTATTGCAACAGCCAGCTTCATACCCATAGCGACATTCAATTACTAGAGATATAAAACATTCTTTAACTACCACTGCATTCCCCCCAAAGATAACAAATACATTGAAGCTATTCCAGATAGATTAACGGGTTAAAAGCATTAAATCAAAACTATGTACCATATTTTAATGCAAATAACATGCACCTTCTCTCCTTTGCTTGTCAACTACTTCTTGCCCTGAGCAGGAGTTTTCTTAAATTAACTATTCTAATGTTTTCACATGTGTAAAATAAATTATATATGTGTATGTGTGTGTGTGTGTGTGTGTGTTTTAGTTTTGGAGCTTTTTGCAGCCATGTCCATGTGTGAGTTTGGGTTCTGTTTTTCCCTTTTACATTACCCACCAGCCACTCCTTGGAAGGAAGGTTGGACAATCTATTTCATAGTGATACTGCCTCGGAAACCCAAGGAGGGGTCGCTATGACTTGGATCAGACGGCAGTGGTTGCATTGTTTGTGTTTTATTAAGACTGGTATCAAGTTTCTGGTAATCACATAAATGGAAGAATGTGTTCCTTTTCATCTCTAGAAAATTTACATGAGATTATAAGTATTTCTCTATACTTCTGTTGGGTAGAATGTTGGGTAGAATTGATAAATTAAGCATTTTGAGCCCAGGTTTTTTTGTTGCTGTTGTTAACTTTTTTTTGACTAATACTCCAATTAATTTGTAATTTCATTTTAATTGCTACAGAGGTATTAAAGTTTTTTTTAATAAGAATTTAGTAAATTATATTTTATGGCAATTTGTCCATTTCACTTAAATTTCTAAATTTATCGGTATAAAGTTTTTCAAAATATCATTTTATTCTCACTTTGGTGTATAAAGTACTTATGATTATAATAATCTCATAATTCTAAATATTAGATTGTTGTATTTTTACTATTATCCTTCCTGATCTATCTTTTCATGTTTGCTGTTTTTTTAAGTCAATTCGTAGAACTAACTTGTTTTATACTTTGTCATATATGTTATTTTCACACATTAAGTTTTATCTTTTCTTTATTACTTACTTCTGTAAGTATTTTCCATTTATTTTACTGTTCTTGCTAAGTTCTGTATATGGATATTTAGCTTATTAGTTTCGGGTCTTTCTTGTTTCCTAACATAAATATTTAAGACTGAATTTGCTTCAAAGTACTGATTTAGTTGCATCCTACAAGTCTGGTATGTAGTATGTTTGTTATATTACAATTGAAAATAACTTCTAATTATTTCTTTGCTGAATTGGATATTTAGACTTTTATTTCTTAATGTTATAATATGTGGGCATTTTTCTACTTACCTCTCTGATACTGAATTCTAACTTAATTTCATTTTGTCTGAGGACATATTTTTATTATTTCAATCACTTTATAGGATTTTTATTTTTAAAATTATCTCTTTCAAAAAAAGACCCTGGAATTTAAATAATTTCCATTATGAATTATCTGTGGTTTTAGGTCTTTTATTTGAAGAATTAAATAAGATTTTTAAATAAAGGAAATTATATTTAAGAGATGAGTGATCTATTGTACTTATATGAGACTCAAATGAAACTCTTAGTGTTATAAACTACCTTCTCCCCTGGGGTAACAGAGATTCTCCAGATGCAGTGTGTATAAGAAGGGTAGCCATTTGGAAATCCTGGGGAAGAAAGGTTGCCATTGGATTCTTGTAGCGTTTCTCCACATGCTAAAATGGAAAAAAGAAAGAAAAGATATATACATAAATTATTTGATTACAAAAGGACTTATCCATATTTCATGAAAAGGAGATCTTATTAAGAAGACAGATACAAATACATAAAGTGTTGAGTTTTTTGTTTGTTTTAAACAAGAGTATATATTTGTATTTTATACAAGACTTTTTCTTTCTAATTCAATTTCTTTTTATGTTGCTCTTACCAAACTTTCAATATCCTCAGTGGCTTCACCACAATCCAATGTTTGGCAAAATTATAAAATAAATAACCTGGCAGTCTGGAGTTCTCAGTGGTGCAAATGGCTAAGCACTCAACTACTAAGGAAGAGTCGGTGATTAGAATCCACCCATATGCACTTTGGAAGAAGCACTGGAGATCTGCACCCTAAAGGTCACAGTTGTGGAAACTCTGTGGAGCGCAGTTCTACTTTGTAACACAGGGGCTACCATGAGTCAGAATCAACTGGATGGAGACTCGTCTTTTTTTTTTTTTTTTTTTAATCTAGAATTTAAAACGTTGTTCCTGATGGAAACCTTTTTCATTCATTCACAAAGAGATTAAAGTCAATTTTTTGTTGTTTTTGACTCCAACACATAGTGACACTATGTACAACAGAACAAAACACTGCCTGGTTATTCATGATACTCACAGTCCTTGAGCCCATCATTGCAGCCACTGGGTCAACCCATCTTGGTGAGAGTCTTCCAATTTCCATTGAACCCCCACTTTACCAAACACAATATCCTTATCCAGGGAAGGGTCCCTTCTGACAACATGACTAAAATAGGTGAGACAAAGTCTGGCAATTCTCACTTCTAAGGAGAATTCTGGCTGCATTTCTTCCAGGATAGATTTGTTTGTTCTTCTAGCAGTCCATGGTATTTTCAGTATTCTTCACCAACACCACAATTCAAAGGCATCAATTCTTATTCATTGTTCAGCTTTCCCATACATGTGAGGCAACTGAAAATACCATGGCTTGGTTTAGGCACACCTTAGTCTTCAAAGTGACATCTTTACTTCTTAACACTTTAAAGAGGTCTTTTGCAGCAGATTTGTGCAGTGTAATACAGTGTCTGATTTCTTGACTGCTGCTTACATGGGTGTTGATTGTAGATTCAAGTAAAATGAAATCTCTGACAAATTCAATCTTTTCTCCATTTATCATGATGTTGCTTATTGGTCCAGTTGTGAGGATTTTTGTTTTCTTTATGTTGAGATGTAATCCATACTGAAGATTATAGTATTTGATCTTCATCAGTAAGTGCTTCAAGTCATCTTCATTTTAAGCAAGCAAGGTTGTATCATCTGTATATCACAGGTTGTTAAGGAGCCTTCCTCCAATCTTGATGTCACATTCTTCTTCATATAGTCCAGTTTCTTGTATTATTTGCTCAACATAGAGATTGAATACGTATGGTGAAAGGATACAAGACGGATGCACACTTTTTATGATTTTAAATGATGATGCAGTATCCCCTTGTTCTGTTCGAGCAACAGCCTCTTGGTCTATGTACACACTTCTCATGAGCACAATTAAGTGTTCTGGAATTCCCATTCTTCACAATGTTATCCATAATTTGTTAGGATCCACACAGTCAAATGTCTTTGCATAGTCAATAAAACATAGGTAAACATCTGTCTGGTATTTGCTTTCAACCAAGATCCATCTGACATCAGCCATAATATCCTTTGTTCCACGTTCTCTTCTGAATCTGGCTTGAATATCTGGAAGTTCCCTCCCAATAAATTACTATAATCATTTTTTAATTTTCTTCAGCAAAATTTGATATTAATGTCATATTAATGATATTGTTTGATAATTTTCACATTCTGTTGTATTATCTTTCTCTGTAATGGGCACAAATATGGATTCTTCCAGTCAGTTTAAAAGCCACCTATTCAGATTCAGGTCAAAGATACCTAGCTTATGTCTCTCTGGAACAACATGAAACATTCCATTAATATATTCAGTGTGAATTGAGGCTAAATTTAATACTGACCAATGAAAGATAACCAAAAAGTACTTAATGAAAGTAGTAACAAAATGCTATACAGGCACACCTCATTTTACTGCACTTTGCATTATTGTACTTCACAGATATTATGTTTTTTACAAATTGAAGGAGTGGCAATCCTGCATTGAGTAAGTCCCTGATGATTTTTCCAATAGCATGTGCTCATATTTTGACTCTGTGTCACATTTTGGTAATTCTCATAATATTTTAATCTTTTTCATAATGATATTGCACACTTAACTGTGTAAACATAATTTTTGTATGTACTGGGAAATCAAAAATTGTGCGGCTTGCTTTAGTGCAATATTTGCTTTATTGTGGTTATCTGGAATGAACCCACTGTATCTCCAATGTATGTCTGTATACAATGAAATTTTTTTCTCAAAATAAGTGCAAAAATAATAACTTTTAAAGATTAAAAAACATCATGGAAAGTTCAAGTTTTTCATCAAGATGTAGACATTTATTAACTATCTGTTTTCTGTTGATCGTAAGTAAAGTCTGCTGAAAAAAAGTTACACTTTCTCCTGGATGGTGGAAATTGTTAATGCACTTGGCTGCTCACTTTAAGACTGAAGTCCAAGTACCCCCAGAGGCACGTTTGAAGAAAGGCTTAGTTATCTACTTCTGAAAAATGTGCCATTGAAAACCCTATGGAGCACAGTGCTACTTTGACAAACATGGGATCACCTTGAATTGGTGTCACCCTGATGGCAATTGGTGTATTTTTTTTAAGCTTGTCTAATTCCTTGAATATTACCAGTTACCTGAAATAACAAATCATTAGCTGCATGCCTCAGCATTGTGTGATAGATACTTCAAGACCATTTTGACATTGGCAAAGTATAGTAATTGTTCCTTGTTCAGCTGTGACTGGTGATCAGAACCATTCTAAAATGAGCTTTGTTACCCTTGCAAGATGACCTAAGCTGCTTTCAGTATCTTTAACTCAAGAACAATTCCTTCAATCATCTTTATAACCTTCACTCAATAATTTGAAAGAACAATTCCCTCTGAGGGAGACAACAATGGAAACTGAGACATTACCATATTACAGAGTCATAGCTACCAGCAGGTGAACTCTCATCTCATCAAATCCTCAATAAATTATACATGGTTCTGCATATCTCAATGTAAATGATGAAAGAAAGGTGATTACCTTGAAAAGACAAAAAAGAAGTATAAAAACTGTCTGATATGATATAAATATTTATTTAGAAATGCAGAGACTATATTTGCACAACAAAATAAATTTAAAGTTGGAATAAGCAATATTTATTCTGATGAATAGGCAGATACAAGCCAATTTGGAACAAAACAAAAATGTTCAAGGTCAAAATGCATAATTCAGCTCTGTTCTCTGAACCACCTAGAGTACTTGATAAATGTAATATTTACAAGAAGTCTTAGACAAATGAGTATTTGTTAAGATTTGATTAATGCAAGCAATGTGCTTCTAATCATTTGGAAGAGAAAAAATATAATTCACAGTAGTTTAAAAATAAATTCTATAATGATTAAATGTTCTACAAAGCCATAGGGAATGCTTATAATGGAATTTATGAAGTGGAATAAAAACATTTCAATATATTTCATCCAATACACACAAACAGTACTATCATAATTTTAAAAAAAAAAGTCTTTTAAATGAGATATTAAACAGAATATAGCATATAATTTTAAAATTAAATAAATCTATAATATGGCAGTTTCTTATTATGCAAGAAGTGCAGTTATCTATACTAAAGCTGTGGTAATGGACTGGAAGCTTTTCTCAATAAATGTAGTTGTCCCAGGCTTCTTAGCCCCTACCACTCAAGATGTTTTATCAGTATTCCTGGCCATTTGGGGATTTATGCTCAGATGTGGAAAACAAACTTTCAGACTCAAAGAACAAAAGGAAAATTAGCAAGGAAAAGGTGGCACAACTATAAACAATAAGTTAAATTGTATAGTCCATCCATGGACTGAACAATGCACATGGAATAATAAGAAACATGTTTGAGACTTGGCATTACCACTTATCAATTATGTCACCATGAGCAATTCTTAAAAGTTTGAGCCCTAGTTTTCACTTCTATAAAATCATCATCTTATCAGTATACTTCATAAGGTTGTTTTACAGATTTCAAATGATATTATAATCATGAGTGGATTTTGTCAAAACTATTTCATGGACTTTCTGTGTCGTCCTCCACCCCCAAAATTCCTGAGCTGCCTTTTTCCACAATTAGGATGACTCTGTGGTCTTAAAAGTTAGATGTGTTCTGGTTACCTACTGCTGCTCTGACAAGAATATCTACCACAAATGGGTTGGCCTTAACAAACAGGAGTTTATTCTCTCACAGTTTGGAGGCTTGAAGTCCAAGTTCAAAGTGCCAGGCTGTAGGGGCTGTGTGAAATCCCTCAGACTTGGGCTTCAGCTCTACCTCTTGCTCCTGGCCCACTGAAGCTAGAGACATCTCTTCACACAGGCAGCTACTGGCCACTGATGCTAACAAGCCCAAGGTCGACAAATAAAATGGCACAGTTCCAATGTTACCAAACCACACAGCAGGTCATTAATTCAAGTCCATTGAAAATCCCAAGGTCAGCAGAGCATGGCAGGCTGCTGAACAATGACATGGCTACATGTAGGGTCCAAGCATGCCATAAGCTAGAGACCATTCCCAAAGCTATTTCTTAAATATGGGAAGTAGACCACATAACCAAAGGCAGCTACTCAGCTGCTCACAGTAGATTGCACCATGCAGTTGATTAGCAGTCTCATCATGGGGAATACTACATCCAGCTACCCAGCCACTCAACCAGGCCTAGCCAACGTGACACAAAAACTAAACCACCACAGAATATATCTTTAAACTATAACTAATTTTTAGTCATAATTGAAAGGAAAATAAATAAGTATGAAGAGGCAATTACTATCATTTGTCTTACCAAAATTACTCTAAAACAAAATTCAACTTTTAAAA